ATTACGAGGCGGGTTTTGTAAGTCCTACTATTCTTTAGTACTACTTTACTTCCCCTGATCAGATTTCAAATTTTCACATCCTCGCTAATCACCACAAGATCTTATGTTTGTTTACTGTAAGTGGTTTTGTAAAGCTAACATTTGTGTTTTTCTTATTTTATTTCTCTTACCATTTTCTATCTTTTCTCTTCATTATCTTTTGAATCTTTGCTTAAAAAATTTTTTTTTAGACTTCTAAAACACAGAACTAAGTATGTAAGAAAGATAAGAACAGGAACACAGAATTAATCTCAAGCAGCAGTAGAAGGAGAATCAACACACATTGTATTTACAAGAGATGTCATGGTCTTAAAAACATTAGGCAGGCAACAACATGACCAGTTTTTCAAGAATTCACCATGTGATGACTTTCCTCAACCAGAGACAGAGAGACTTTCAGGTGTGCCGTGACCACAACGTTCTTTAAAGGAGCTGCTGACTGAGGCTGGTATAGACTGCAAGGTTTAAAACTACCCATGACAGCTCCCAAGTGCATACATTATAAATGGTTCTAACGGAAATGTTCTGTGAAATGAAAGCGGCCAGCATGATACGGACCCTATCGTCCACTGAGTGTCTAGAAGCCCATGAAGTAGCATTTTTGTAAGCAAGGATACATCACTATCGTTATGTTGTGCCATATGTGTACTACAGGACTCACAGTCGGTACTCCCTTCTGTTTTATTTTGCCAAATCTATTCAGTATCATGTATGGAATCTATTCCAGCACCTCTGGCCTCTTTCATCAACATTTATTTTAAGGTTCTCATTCATATTTGTCCGTTTCCTTAATCCATCAGTTTCCCAGTTCATCTTTGGTGATTCTTTTCTACCTTCTTCTCAGGATGTGCCCACTATATCACCATCTTTGTTGTCTCTCAACTGTTGGTACTACTGGTTGTCCAGACATAGGTCCAAAATGGTACTACTGGTTGTCCAGACATAGGTCCAAAATGGTACTACTGGTTGTCCAGACATAGGTCCAAAATGGTACTACTGGTTGTCCAGACATAGGTCCAAAATGGTACTACTGGTTGTCCAGACATAGGTCCAAAATGGTACTACTGGTTGTCCAGACATAGGTCCAAAATTGATATCTATTTACAAGAAATCTGATTAACTACAACTTGACATATTGAAGCTCAGTTTGTGACATTATGATTGGTTCCTGGCATTCTGTAGCAGCTCTCGAGAGATGATCAGTCTTTGTATTTGTGCTGTGCCCTCGTAAATCTGTATGCAGAAGGAAAACATTGCAGACTCAATGACTAGGAGGTAACGGTCTTTGGAACGTACTGTATTTAACGAAAGACAAGATGTCTGTTGTACACAATACAGAAAAGCCGAGTGCGTAGTTAAAGAAGAAGTAGAAAAAAAGAAGAAGGAAGATGAAGAAGAAGAAGAGGTAGAAGTACAGGAGGAGAAGACTGAAGAAAGCTAAAGGAGAAGAAAGTAGAACACAAAAATACACACAAAAGAAGAAACACAGTTTAAAAGCGAAAGTAAAAGTCAGCACAGAGGAATAAGAAGAAAAGTGAATGAAAAGTAGGAAAAAAGATGGGAGAAGAGGAAAATGAAAAAGAAAAAGACAAAAAATGGAGAAGAAAAAAAAAATGCAATCCAAATAGAAATAAAAAAAAAAAAAGGGAAAAGAAAAGGCAGAAAGAAAAGGAGGAAGAAGGAGAAGAAGAAGCAGCAGTAGCAGCAGAAGAAGTAGCAGTAGCAGAAGAAGCAGCAGCAGCAGAAGAAGGAGGAGAAGAAGAAGAAGAAGAGACGAGGAGGAGGAGATGGAGAAATATCCTTAAAAGTCTAAAAGCAGTGTATAGTAGAAAAGTGAGCTTACTTGATAAATCTTGGCATCTCTCATGAGCTTCTCCACTGGGTACTCTGAATTAAAGCCAGCGCCACCAAAAATCTACAAGAAGAAATCCACCCATCACTGTCTACAGTTAGAATAACACACATACAGAAAAGATCTAATATGATTAACTGAATCAACAATTAACATCCCTGCACTTGGGACTTTCCTAAACATGCTCTGTCTTCTTCCTCAGTAGCCAACACAGAGTCGATTTGCTAATTTAATAGTTGCAATCTGATTAAAAGTCTGCCTAAGGTTCCCCTTCAGTATTGAATATCTTCTCTTCCCTCACTGCTGTATTTGTCTGTCAATGTCTAGAGGACTGTTTCACTGTCCACTTGATTCTAGACAGCCTTCACCAATAAGGTCTAATATTCAACACAGGATACCAAGAACTGTTTGTGTTTCAACCTGGTGGTCTTGTGTTTCCCCAGGGTACAAACAGAACTAATGGATATTACAATACCTTTACACCCCAGGGTAGAAACAGAACTAATGGATATTACAATACCTTTACACCCCAGGGTAGAAACAGAACTAATGGATATTACAATACCTCCATACCCCAGGGTAGAAACAGAACTAATGAATATTACAATACCTTTACACCCCAGGGTAGAAACAGAACTAATGGATATTACAATACCTCCATACCCCAGGGTAGAAACAGAACTAATGGATATTACAATACCTCCATACCCCAGGGTAGAAACAGAACTAATTAATCTGGGTGTGGGTTCTGGGGCTCCATTGTGGGGAGGGGGAAAACAGATCTACCATCCCCTTACAAGCATGCCCTAAAAGTCAACCTATTAGGAGTGTTTCATTTCAAGTGTGCATATGCCCAAGAAGCAAGAAACCAAAATAAATAAGGCAGATCTGCAAAACGGATGTGCATATCAAACTCAAGTTCTGGAATAAGACCAAAGTTCAGAAGTGGATGAGCAGCCAGAACTTTCTGCTGGAGTTTACAGCTGGTGAATGCAAAGAAGAAGAAGAAGGAGAATTAAAGAAAACTGTAATGTTTTTCTATACCCCAGGGTAGAAAGAACCAAGAAGGTTGTAATGTGTACATCTACAGTGCAGGGTAGAAGAGAAGTAAAGATGACTGTAACTATGTCTGTTCTCAAGAAGATAAAAGAATACAAGCCATCTGTGTATCTTTTCTAGGAAATTGTAAAAAAACCAATACCAGCATTTTTAGCTTTGTGATTTTACTAGGCGGTTTTACATTCAGTAGTTTGCCATTGCTTCTCTGAATTGGTGGTATTCAATGCAAAGCAGTCTGCTGCCAAATATTCTGCAGACTAGAATCAAATCATGTATTCTGGAATGTTGGAGTATGTTCACAATGCCTCAACTAAAGATGCTGACAAAAGAAGTGAAGATAATTGTAAAGTACCTCTACACTTCAGGGTAAATAGGGAAGACAATGAACAAACAGGATACAAGAAATAAAAAAAAAATATACCTGAACAGCATCAGTGGCACACTTGTTAGCAACATCCCCAGCATAAGCCTTGGCAATAGAAGCGTACAATGTATTCCTTCTCCCTTGATCCACTTCCCAGGCAGCTCTCCGAGTGGCCAGTCGAGCTGTCTCTACACCGATGGCCATGTCAGCCAGCAGGAAGGCAATGGCTTGGTGCTGAAACACATCCATCAAGTTAAACAGCACTCATAAGTTACAGCAGGTTTGAGTTCTTGATGGAGAATGGTTACACAAAGTAGGTTTTGATCAAAATATCTTGATATCGGCTTTAAAAGACAGAAATAAGTAAGAAGGCGCTTGAAAAAGAAGAAAGAAATATAAACAAGTTAAATAATATTAGAAATTAAATAAAGGTATGCTGAATATTAAAGACTGAACAGCCTTAAAAGTCCATGGTTTAGCACCAGCAAGGATATCAAAATTAGAATTTTGAGAGCATGCATCTTCCCTGTGGCTACATACGGATGTGAGTCGTGGGCTATCTCTCAGTCCTTAAGAAAGAGAATAGGGACTTTTGAGCTGAAATGTTATAGAAAGATTCTCAGAATATCTTGGACAAAGAAGAGGAGAAATACTGACATCTTGAAAGATCTAAACATCAAGGAAGATTGGCTAATAAACGGCATCCTGTCTCGGAAGCTGAAATATTTTGGTCATATCAAGCGCCACGACGGATAGGACAAAATTGAAGTGGAAGGCATGGTGCCAGCCACCTTTACTTCTCGGGACTGCACCCAGTACCCACTCAAGGCTGGGTCGACCTGGGAGCCAAGGTCATTTTTGAAAAAAAAAAAAGTCTAGCTTTGCCAAGGTGCAAACCTATGACCTTCCGATCCGAAGGTGAGCGTCTAGCCCTGAATTAGTAGGGTCTGTTTTAATGTGTTACACTTGTGAAATAAAAAAAAATTGCATTAGCACCCCTTGGGTATCTGATGCTAAACCCCCTGGGATTGAAAGAGTTAAATGGAAACAATAAAGAAAACAGCCAAGGTCAAACAGAAATAGAAGTGGCCAACAAAGAAATATGTAACTGGAGAACAATGGTCACCAACAGCTATATTACAAAATAAAATAAGCAATAAAGCACTTGGAAAAGAAGATATATATATACAAATAAAGGGATGCTGAATATTAATTCACACACAAATCATTAGCTGTTTAATTCTTCTTCTTATTATTATTTTATCTTCATTCTTTTTGTTCTTCAGCATTCCAAGCCGTTCAGATTCACTGCTGCTGATTTCAACCCCCTCTATTCAACTCAAATGCCAACATGAAACTAACCTCACAAATTGGTTTCCCCATTGACTTCCTCTCCATGGCATATTTTGTAGCCTCATCGAGGGCTCTCTGAGCCAGACCCACTGCTCCGGCTGCAACCTGGCAAAGTAGACAAAGTCAGCATGTACTCAAAGACAACAACATCATCATGATCATGCTGTTGTATTGTTATCTGCCACAGAGGGCTGACAGTCTACCCGTCGACTCTATTCCATCCTGTGTAACTGTTATTTAAAGATATAAAATGACCATAATAAATGTATACATTTCAGCAAAAGAAATAAGAGGAGAACAACCAAAGGAAAAAACAACAATGAAGGAAAGAACAGTGAAGAAGATTTAGGGGCTAGAAATAATAATTAATAAAAGGAAGAATAATGAAGAAGAAAACGTAGAAGCAAGTAATCTGAAAAATAAGAAAAAATAAACAGGTCAAACAGAAACAAAGGGATGTTTTGCTGCCTACAGTTCATAGACAGAATGATGGAAAAAAACACACATGAAGACAAGAAAAAAAAACTAGAAAGTTTCAGTAACTTGTTCTCTGACTCCCTCACAGCAGTCTTGTCTGGCTCCCTTCATCTTTTCTGCTGATCTTGTTTGTCTGGTCAAGGTTGTAGCAGTCACAGTTATCACTTGATTCACCGACTTCCCCTATCTCACCAGAAGTCTTCAGTTACCAACCTTGTCCCCTACACATCCACTGTCTGAAACACCCCTGCCAACAAGCTGATCTGATTTATTTTCTCTTAAATCCACTCGCAGGTCCTGGCAGGTCCACTATAACAAGAGGTAGTCCTTTACAATATGTCTGTTCAAGTGTGTCTACAGGAATATGGAAAACACATTAAAAAATAGAATTATCTTCTTCTTCTTCTTAATGTTCACTGGCTATATACTCTGGCAGAAAGTTCTGGTTATTCGTCCACTTCTGGATTTTGGTCTTGTTCCAGATCTTGAGTTTTGCATGCACATCCCTTTTACAGATCTGGCTCTTTTGTATGCAGACTGCTGGTTCCTCATTGGTGGGCAGATGTACTCTGACTTCAAAGAAACACCCTAATTAGGCACCCTTTTACCAAGCAATTTTAACATATGCCAGTAAATGGTGGAGAACCACAAAAGACATGGGATGAAAGTTGAATGCATTCAAAAGCAAGCAATAAAACAAGTATGGCATTATGCTAGGCAAGCATGATAGCTGGTGACAGACAATCACTCAACAGGCACTGAAATGAGACACAAATAGATAAGGATATCCAAAAGAAACCTGAGTTGAAACACGGATGAGAGTGGCCTAATGTACTGGATTGGACTCTATCTATGATATCTAAAGAGTTCACCGGCTGAAAACTCTTGCGGAAAGTTCTGGGTGTTTGTCTACCTCAGGACTTTAGTCTTGTTCCAGAACCTGAGTGTTGTGTGCAGATCAGCTTCACATACTTGGCTTATTTGCATGCAGACTCTTGGTTCCTTGCCTCTCAGGCTAATGTACTCTGATTTAGAAGGATACCTTCAATTAACCGACTCCGACGAGATGCTGGTTGTGGAGGCAGTGGTTCTATTCCAGCACTCCCAACAATGCGGCCCAGTAACCCACATGGAGAGTATGGGTAACCAAACACAACATCTCAACAATGATTACTTACAGGAGGCCTGGTCTTGTCAAATGCTCCCATGGCAATCTTGAAACCAGTTCCCTCTGTCCCCAAAACATTCTGAAAGCCAACGATGTTTAAACGGTTTTATAGTTGTGAAGCTACGGCATTTCTAGTATACACTAAAATATGTGGTATCTAGGAAAGTGCAAGAGTTAACTAGCTTGGTAGCCAGTAGTTTAAAGCGTAATACATAACTCATACATCATAGAAAGTCACTCACAGTATATCACACTACAGCTAATAACCCATACTTACAGAAGAAGGTACAGAAGAATTGGTCTAGGAGAATCCTAGCACTTTACTGCAGGCCGTAAGTCATAAATTATAATTCGCACTGATGGCAATCACCCACCCCTTTCTTCCCCAATCTGATCCCTAAATCTACAGCTTTAGTCATAATTAACTGAATACGGGTTGAATCATCACAGGAAATCACTCATATATGACTTTACAACAATCATTACGGCACATCGCTCAGACATGACTTTACAACACTCATCACAGCACACAACACATACATGACTTTACAATAAGCACAATAGCACAAAATTTGTATTTGACTTTAGAACAATCATCACAGTACATCACTCATCAATGACTTTACAACAATCATCACAGCCCATAACTCAAGCATGACTTTACAACAAACATCACAGCAAATGACTCATGCATGACTTTACAACAATCATCACAGCACACAACTCATACATGACTTTACAACAAGCACAAAAGCACACAATTTGTATATGACTTTAGAACAATCATCACAGTACATCATTCATCCATGAATTTATAACAATCATCACAGCACATAACTCAAGCATGACTTTACAACAAACATCACAGCACATCACAAATAACAAGTCAGTGGCATAGCTGCAGCAGACTCACCTCCTTAGGGACAACAACATCTTCAAAGGTGATCCCTCTAGTGTCCGAACACCTCTGACCCATGTTCCTCTCCTGCATATGATACAAGAGGATATTTTTCATCTTAGTAAACACAAATTGAACAGCCTTAAAAGTCTATGGTTAAGCACCAGCAAGGAGATGAAAATTAGAATTTTGAGAGCATGCATCTTACCTGTGGCTACATACGTTTGTGAGTCGTGGACTATCTCCCTTTCATAAAAAGAAAGAGAATAGGGTCTTTTGAGCTGAAATGGTATAGAAAGATTCTCAGAATATCTTGGACAAAGAAGAGGAGAAATACTGACATCTTGAAAGATTTAATCATCAAGGAAGATTAATAATCGCATCCTGTCTTGGAGGCTGAAATATTTTGGTCATTTCAAGCACCACGATTGGAAAAAATTATAGCAGAAGGCATGGTACCAGGAAGGAGGGGCAGGGGCTGACCGACACGAACATGGGCACAGGATATAAGTGACTCCTTGAGTATGAAAGTACATGAGGAGGGAGAACTGGCGAGAGACAGTGTTTCTTTCAGGCAGACTGTGATGAGAGCGACGTTCTGCAAAGGACCTGCTACATGATGATGATGAGTAAACACAATTAACAACAAAAAAACAGATCTACTCTTCTTCTTCTTCACATTCACTGTTGTGAACTCCAGCAGAAAGTTCTGGTTGTTCGTCCACTTCTGGACTTTGGTCTTCCCATGTGGGTTCCAGAGTCCCACATTTTGGAGAAAAAACAAGAACAGACCCACAACCACCCTAACAAGCATGTCATAAAAGCCAACTAATTAGGGGTGTTCCCTTCAAAGTCGGAGTGTATCTGCCTGAGAGGTGAGGAACCAACAGTCTGCATACTGGCTATTTGTCCACTTCTGAACTTTTATCTTGTTCCAGAGTTTAAGTTTTGTGTGCACATCCATTTTACAAATCTGGCTTATTTGTGTACAGACTGCTGGTTCCTCACTTCTCAGAAAGATGCACTCCAACTCCTAAATTGACTTTTAGGACATGCTTGTTAGAGGGTAGTGGGTCTATTCTCACCCCCCTCCCTACAATGGGGTCCTGGGACCCACAAGGAAATGCCACACACAAAACTTGTAATGGACGTTTATGTCTGTAAGAGAGGACCATCATGAGTGTTTGCAGTAAGTAATAAGAGGGGTTAAAATACCACAAAGCTAATGCGTGTGGTAACCAAGAGGGCAAGAGGGAATGTTACAGGCATCACTAAGTGAAACTATCAATAACTCTGTGGTAGTTGTACTTTTCACATAATAAATATCCTGTTCAACCCTTGGGCTTATAATTATGATTGCCCGTGTGGGTTCTGGGACTTCATTGTAGGAAAAACAAGAATAGACCCCTGCCTCCCCAAAAAGCATGTTATAGGAGTCGACTAATTGGGTGCTACCTTTGAATTCAGAGTGCATTTGCAACGAACAACCAAATGCACACAAATAGGTAAATAAATATCATATAATATCATAGCTGATAGACTGGCAGGCACTGCATTAATTGAAGATGGCTGGCCCATGGATCACGCATTGTCATTGTCCTTAGAGAGATAGGACGTTCTGAGGATTTTGGAAGCAACGTGTCCACATCACTTCTAAGAATACGCGAACTGGGAACTGGGAGTAAAGATCGGCACAGCCAAGCATGAGAAGCACACTGGACGCACATAAAATCTTGTTAACTAACATAGGACTGGTACTATTAACTGCAGGACGCTGATGAATATGTTGAGAGGGGAATCTGAGCGCCTATGGATGTGTCCGGAGTGCTGTGAAGATAATCTAACTCATAACTCGTAAGTCAATAAAACGGTTGTTTATGCAAAAATTAGTCCAAATGGACCAACAACCAAGACTTTTCGCCAAAGCTGACAGCCAGTGAAAAAGGAAGGGAAAAAATGAATAATTAAGATATATAGTGTCCACTCACTTTTCCGTTACCAATTTTACCTTTCTCCCCAAGATAATGTTCACAGTAACTTTGTAAAAAAAAATTTTTTTTTTAAAGTTAAATTTCTACACAACATCAAGTAAAACAATCCACACCTCTGCCTTTCACTAAGTTACATATTGTAAATTTTAATGTTATTTCAATGTTAACAAATGCTAGTGAAAGCTGGCGAACCACTTTAGACCTGGAACAAAAATTAAATGCATATGCAAACAAATTCCTGGGGACATTGATGAATATTGAATGGGATGAATTCCAGAAAGGTGAAGAAAAAAGAGAAATGTCTGGACAACAACACATATCAAGTGACAAGACAGAGAAGGTGGCAGTATATTCTACACATGCTGAAAGGAGGTCGACAGAGAATTACCACACGGATACTGTCTATCAATCCATCCATCCATATATACACACATACACTTAAAGGTACTGAAATGGGAAACAGATGGGCTGAGGATGTCTAAGAGAAACCCTAAAACAAAGTTGCTGAAAGAGGCCAAAAGTACTAGACCCAACCATCCACAATATTGAGAGAATAGCAAAGGATAGAACAGAACAGATGACCACACTGCATGCCTCATGTGATGCACAAGGTCACCACAAAAAGATGACGATGATGACTCTACCTTTCTTCCCAGTATAATGCCAGGGGAATGTGCATCTACAATAAACCCAGTGAAGGCTTTGCCCGCAGGTGTCTGAGGGTCACTGCTGGTTCTAGCCAAAACGAAATACCAGTTGGCCACCCCTCCATTGGTGATCCACATCTTCTGACCGTTAAGGACGTATTCATCTCCTTTCTTTTCTGCCTTAGTTCGGATTGCTGCAACATCGGAGCCTGCGCTTGGTTCAGTGACACAGTATGCCTGGAGACATGCAAGAGAGGTAATTCAATGCGACTGTTGCAGGAATAACACAGTGATAGACCTTCACAAAAATTAAATATACCTGATGTGATCCCAACAATTAGGTCTGAAAATCTATAAGGGAAATAATGAGAATAAACAATGCAAATAGTAATCTGGTTTCTCTTAATGGTATCCCACTCCATAATGTGGAGTCATACACCTTCTTGGGCAGTAATGTAGGTAAAGATGGGGGAACTGTCAGAGTTATTAAAATACAAATACAAAAGGCAAAAGGAGCTTTGACAGCGCTAGGAAATGTGTGAAGATCAAAAGAAATTATACAAAACTTATATTGTTTTTTTCTAATGTCAAATCAGTACTGTGCAGTAAATATACTATACTGTGCCAGAAATGGACAATGAATTCAGGGCTCATTTTTTTGCCAGTGGCAGACTGGGCATATGATGCCAAACTCATATTTGTATAGACCAACTAGAACTTGGTGGGTGATTTGATCAAGTTGTGTTATGGGTCATCCCGGAAACTATGGCCCATTTAACAATAAAATTAAAGAAAAAAAAAAGAATAAAAGACCCACCTGGAAGGCTAGACAATAGTCAGCAGGCACATCTGTAGCTGCTAAATTATTATTGTTCCCTATTTTTACAGACCTACCAAAAAATGGACCTTAATGATAAAACAATGCTGTATACTTACACACATGAGTGGCTCTTCAATCATCCTTCCAAGATACTTCTTCTGCTGCTCTTTGGTGCCAGCTATGATTACTGGCATTTCCTGCAGATAAAAGAGGCACATTCATAAAATCCTTAAATCTCTAAACAGCCTTCAAGTACACAGGGTATACTCTAATAACTCTTTAGTTTTATAGATAATCTGTCACTCGATGATGTCATGAACATCATGCTGACCACCTTTACTTCCCAGCACATTACCTGGTACCCATTTTTAGACAGGGTCAACTTCCGTGAACATTTAATTTTAAACATTCCGTCTCAGTGGGGATTACATCTTACGACCACCATGCCAGTAAGCAAGTGTGTTAACCACTGGGCTACAGTAGTTATATGTCTGCAATTCACTGATGATAACCTGAACTAAAGTGGATAACAGCCAAGTCAGTTTAACATCTAAACAGACAACACAGGAACAAACAAATGAGTTCTTCCTCATGAGACTTCCGGTCAAAATGGACGCTAGGCAGGGGCACTGTTCGGAGCCGAGGCAAATTTTTTGCTTCTGCCGGATGGTGGCTGATGCATTTTTGCTCCATTTGTAGAGTGGATATAGTTTCGTTGCCCAGCTTCTGACCTGAATGCATTGCGTGACACTGTGAGCTGCGGATTTCATTTGGAATGTTTTTTCCACTGTGACCAACGTGGTGGTGTGAATTGTAGATTCGAAAAATGGCGCGATGCCTGTTGTCGCAATATTGGTGGTGCCTGTATGTGATTAAATTTTATCACGTGGGCATCTGCTGATCTGTTGGTGACTTCTGCTACCATCAATGATGAACTGCATTTCTAATGTCAGACTGTTTGTGTTAGCACTTCAGATGGCTTTAATGCGTGTGTATGCTAAATATGCTGAGACAGCAGTCTGTCAATCTTTCCACAAGGGATTGTGATTAACATTCTATGTGTTTTTCGTTGGCACAAGAGCGGAGCAAAGATGGGGTGACCCGTTTGCTATGAAGCTGAAACTAAGACTACGAGACAAAATAAATGAGTGAATGAAAGAGAGATGAAACCAGACAATACAACAGGGACATGATGTACAAACCCCGAGTGAGTTAGCCTCAATGGCTGTCTGCACACCTGTACAACCATAAGCAATTTCTTCTGTTACAATACAGCATTCCTGCAGGCCAAGGTTGAGGCCACCTGTAACAAGATGAACACTGAACAAGTCAACAAATGAATGGCAGACACAAGTTTTAGATCACAAATAACAAACCAATAAAATACAATCCTTACTGTCACGATCATTCCCTGTATGGGTCCCACTGTGCAGGACAACAGAACAGACTAACTGCTCCTTAACCGTGCATCTCACAAGAGGCAACCAATAAGGATTTGCAAAAAGTTGGATATATTGGGTTGAAAGAGGGAAAATTTCATAGCCTAGCATCTCCGTGGAGGTTCCAGGTGGGGGGAGGGGGGTACAGAAGAATTGGTCTAGGAGAATCCTTGCACTTTACCGCAGGCTGTAACTCGTAAACTACATTTCACACTGATGGCAATCCCCCACCCCCTTCTCTCGCAATCTGATCCCTAAGTCTACTGCTTTAGTCATAATTAATTAAAAAGGGGTTAAACGCAGTGCAGGAGCTATTGATTTTAATGCAGACGTGATACCATCTACACTAGAAACGACCCCTTCTCCCCGGCAAAAAAAAAAATAAAGAAATAAGGATGACAAATCTCACTGGATCTATGTGCAACCTGTTCATAGATGGAAAGAGACATACAGACAGGCAGGCAGACAGATAGGGAAGCAGTTAGGCATTGTGACTGTCAGCCAGGCAAAAAAACCCCCCCCCCCCCCCCCCAAAGAAAAAAAACACGCCAAGACATAAAAATGAAAAATAGCAAGCCACAAATAAAAAAAAATTACAAAACTGCTCTCACAGACAAGTGCAACAGATAATCAGGGATTCAGCCAGGCAAACATGCAGGTAGATAGACAGACATACTGGTATACAGACAGACATGAAATAAACACAAACAGGCAAACAAAACAATAGACAGACTAATCAACTAAAAGAGGGAGCAAGAGAGACTAGATGACAACTCACCACAATGCTGGGGTATGTGAGTGTTCATCAATCCCAGGGACCAAGCTGTCTTCACCAGATCCCAGGGATACTGCGATAGAGGGCAGTGCCAAAAATCATGTTACATTGTAAGAATAATTATGAGACACACATGAAACATGTTATAACATAGACTAAAAATTAAGGACCCTTTTTAAAGCCTTTAGATGTACGGAGTATGGATATCTAGGCTTGTATTTTATAAACCGATCAGCACGCAGCAGATGATGGAGTCAGCGTTATGTCAGCTGCCTTTATTTCCCATGACATTACCTGACACCCATTTTAGGCTGGGTTGATCTCGGAGCCAAGGCCATTTTAAAACAAATCTGGCTTGAAGCAGATTTGAACCTTCAACCTTTGGGCCCAAGGCGAGTGTCTAGCTGCTACACCACACTAGCTCCCTGAGACTTGTTATAGTACAAATATAAATATGATACAGATCATGAGACATGCTACAATACATATCAGATACATCATCAGATATGCAACAATACAAATCAGATACATCATGAGACATGCTACAATACAAATCAAATACATCATCAGATATGCTACAATACAAATCAGATACATCATCAGATATGCTACAATACAAATCAGATACATCATCAGATATGCTACAATACAAATCAGATACATCATCAGATATGCTACAAATACAAATCAGATACATCATCAGATATGCTACAATACAAATCAGATACATCATCAGATATGCTACAATACAAATCAGATACATCATCAGATATGCTACAATACAAATCAGATACATCATCAGATATGCTACAATACAAATCAGATACATCATCAGATATGCTACAATACAAATCAGATACATCATCAGATATGCTACCATACAAATCAGATACATCATCAGATATGCTACCATACAAATCAGATACATCATGAGACATGCTACCATACAAATCAGATACATCATCAGACATGCTACAATACAAATCAGATACATCATCAGATATGCTACAATACAAATCAGATACATCATCAGATATGCTACAATACAAATCAGACACATCATCAGATATGCTACAATACAAATCAGATACATCATCAGACATGCTACAATACAAATCAGATACATCATCAGATATGCTACAATACAAATCAGATACACCATCAGATATGCTTCAGTGTAAGTGTAAGACAGATTACACTATAGAAAATATTCATAAATGAAACAGCAAAATCTGATATCATGCTACAGGATTGATCTATACTGACACAATGTCGCATAACATATTTTTGACAGGATTTGATGGTTTGAACAACGGATCAACATCACTGCACAAGAGCAGTAACCCATAAATGTTCCGTTCTACTTCTAACTCAAACCTGAGTCCGAAGAATCTCAGCAGTGCACAAATTTCGTAGCATCGGTGAGGATCCTGAAATACTTTAGATAGATTTTTAACTAGAAATTTGGCTCCATCAGGACCCGAACTCACGATCTACCAATCCACAGGCTACGTGTAGCTAGTCGCTACATCATGGTGGCTCTTGAAAGAATTATCAATGGCAGAAAAGAAAAGAGACACTATTGAATACCTCTATAGTTTTAATGTAGAAGAAAAGCAATAATACGTGAACACAGAAAAGGACAGATTAGACTAAGTGAATGGTTCACCTCTCCTGAAAGGTCATATTCCGGAGCCTTGGGAATGATTTCTTCTCTTGCAAACTTGCGCGCTGTTTGCTGGAACTCCAACTGTTCTGGGGACAGCTCTGAGGGGACAAAAATTGGGTTCCTTTTAGAAGAGAATGAGTCAGAAACATTCACAAGTGGTGAACACAGTGACATGCTGTAGTTCATTCAGTCTGCAGGCTGAACTCCTCTGTTTGGCAACAGGGCTATTGTACTAGTGTGGACATAAGTATGCATCTACTGTGTGATAGTGATGTAAAAAAAGGGCAGTTGAACGGCTCAGGCAGGCTAGAAAGACCCATATAACAAGCCCTTTACCTACAGACACTGTTCCCTGCCCTCATTGTCCCAGATCCTTCTGGGCCTGTACTGGGATAATAAGTCATAATAAGCCGATGAAGAGCATATGTGTGTCTTAGTTTGTACTGGCATGAAATAAAGCGTCCACATATGCTGTCTTATACTACAATGCAAAAAAGTGTTCATACATGTGCTGTCATATACTGGTATGTAATAAATAGTCCACATAAGAACTGTTATACAGGTGTGTTTAGAATAGTACAAATGTATGTCATGGCCTATATTTTACCCTGTGAAGATCTAATGTTGTTTTTTTAAACCACCCTTTTGCAATTCCAGGTCTCGTAGACTTTGTTTGGCTGGATGATGAGTTTGTGGGAGTGAATCATTTGGTAAGTTTCCATATCTACACAGCTTTTGACTACATTCTGTGTCCACCACAGTTTTATCCAGAAAACTGTGTATGATGTTCCCTGCCATAACCCTTCACAGGTCAACCAATCCCTCCTATCTGGGTCACTCCCTGGCCAGTATCTCACTACTGTGAGATACACAATGCAGAGCTTCCACTGTTCAAGAATGGATCAAGATCATGTGACAGACCAGTCTTATTTTTCTTCTTTCAATAATATAAGTTTTTATATCAGCAATTTTGTCTCTTGTATAAATTTCACTGCCGTTGCTAGTTCATTCAGTGGCACAACGCCTGGACAGTATTGTGGAGAGCATAATCTACTGAGTATCTATGTATTCATCCTCCCTGTGTGGGTTCAGGAGCCCTTTTGTGGGGGAAAACAAGAAGAGACCCCATGTCTCCTCAACAATCATGCTGTAGGAGTCAACTAACTGGGGGCATCCTTTGAAGTTGGGGTACATCTGTCTGAGAAGCAAGGAACCAACAGTCTGCATATAAATAAGCCAGATCTATTAATCGGATGTGCACAGAACACTCAGGTTCTGGGAAAAGAATAAAGTCTAGAGGTGGACCAACACGCAGAACTACCCGCTAGAGCTTACAGGTGGTGAATGTGAAGAAGGAGGAGGAAAAGAAGGAAAAAAAAAGACTACATCCTCATCCTAGAGCAACATTCTTACTTGCCAGTGTGAGTACCATACTTTTCACTAAAAGTGAAGCACACCCAAAAAGTGCTCACCCTGATGGGTAAATCCAAGTATTTGCCACACCATGGTGTGCTTCCCATCCTCTGCCGCACAGAGGTGCAACTCAGATTTTCCTTTTAATGTGTTATACCCCCGTGTGGGTTCCGGGGCCCCATTGTGGGGAAAACAAGAATAGACCCATTGCCTCCCTGAAAGCATGTCGTAAGAGTCGACTAATTGGGGAGCTTCCTTTGAAGTCGGAGTGCATCTGCCGGAGAGGCAAGGAACCAACAGTCTGTATTCAAGAGAATGAGATCTGTAAAACTGATGCACACGCAACTTTCAGGTTCTGGAGCAGGACTGCAGTTCAGTAGTGGACGAGCAACCAGAACCTTCCGCCAGAGTTTACAGCTGGTGAACGCGAAGAAGAAGAAGAATGTGTTATAAAATGATGGTGGCATTTCTCAAACTCTAATTTTAAGCTTAACAATGTTTGTCTGACCTATTATTGTTTTTTATTCATTTTCTTAACAGTACTGAAAATCTCATTTATGTTGACATCTTTTTATCTCTCCAGGTGATAGTGTTATATCTGCTCTAATAAGTCGCCAGAATCCACGGTGATGACAAATAGGACGAGCAAGACCTGCTCATGCTTAGAAATTAAACTGTGGTCAGGGATGAAATTCCTGCTATTCACAACATAAAACCTGGACAGTATTATAGAGACCATAATCTACAGAGTATCTATGTATTCTACCAAAAGCTATGTAATTATGTGCCATGACATTCGACCATGTGCATGCTGACTTACCAAATGATATTCCCCTGGACAGATGCTCTTGATCATTTTGAGGAGAACCAGAACTGGTCGCCAGACATCTTACTGCCCTGACTAATGACTTCACACAGGCTGGGGACTGTAACAGTTCATATTGGAATACACAAGAATATACACGGAAAATGGTTAAACCATTATCATGTAAAATATTAAATAAAACATACACAAAACTGACATTCATAAACATACAGCATCATACAAACATGAATATGCATGCTTATCCACTTACAGGCACCCTATGTCTAAACACCTTAACATCATGTGCAACATGTCTACGTTAACCCACACCATCACAGATCAACACAACAACACAGCCATGCATTTACAAACTTACACATCAACATATATATCCACATCCTCTAAAGTTCACAGACAATGAAATTCAGCCATATACACTTTCACACCAAAAATACACTCAAGTATACACATCCTCCCTATGTATGTTCCTGGACTTTATTATTGGAGAACAAACGAATATGCCCACTGCCTCATCCCCCCCCCCCCCCCCACCCCCCCTTTTCTCCTCCTCCTCACCAAAAAGCATGTTGAAAGAGGCGACTAATATTGAGTGTTTCCTTTGATGTCAAAGTCGAGGAACCAACAGTCAGTATACGAATAAGCAAAATCTGTAAAATGGATATGCATGCAAAACTCAGGTTCTGTGTTTAATGTTTAAATAAAATTGACAACACAGGCCTCAGGACATTCCCACAAGCGCAGAGTTCCAATTTCAATTATACCAATAGCAGTCTGATTTCCCTAATAAATTTTTCCTGATTTAGTCTTTTATGCTTCTGCTGCACACTGCTTGAACTCTTCTACTTTTTCTTTTTTGATCTTTTCTGCCTTCTCTACCTTATCTTGTAACCTGTGAGGTGACTATCACACCTTCCGCTATTGTTTAACTACTGCTTTCTTTTCTTTCCATGCCTGTTTAACTTCTTGGGTCCATCATGGAGGCTGCATAAATGTAGAACAGGTTGTTCTTTTACATGCCTTCTGCCTAAGGCATTCAAGTAAGGGGCCCTCTCATACTTAGCATTCTCACAGCCCTGATCTTGCTAGCTTTATAAATCAAGAAGGATCATGGCATATGGTCACTACCATGGTCAACAAGGACACTCCATTTTTCTCCAGCACTGCTGACTGGGTAAAAAACTACAAATCAGTAGCTGTGTCTCCATCATTAGGTCTCATTCTCATTCTAGTTGAACTAATATCGTTTATACAGACTATTTCTGAATCAACCATGGCCTCTGCTCGGGTATTTCCTTGAAGATTTTCCTGTGTAGTGTCCCATGTTGTGTTCCACGCATTAAAACATCTACACATGAAAAGCCTATTGCCAGGGATTCCCTATAACTCTGAGCCATTCCTACTGGTCTTATATGAAAGAGAGTCAAGAGCAGCATAAACATTTACTAAATTCTAAGTCATGCCCTCGTTATCTATCTGTATTTCCATAACCTCTGTTGTACTATGATTCCACTGGCCCAGGTACATACTTCACTCTATTCTTCACCAACAGACAATGCCCATGTCTTCCTCATCAAGTAGGATTTATACAGGACACTCAAATCTATCTGTATTTAATTCTGGAAGCAAAAGAATATCAAAATCAAAATCAAATTCTGCAGTATAGGCCCTCTCTGCTTGGTTCTGTAACATGCAAATGCCTAGAAGTGGACAAACAACTAGAACTTTTTGCCATAATTTACAGCTTCTGAACGCAAAAAAGAAAAAGATAACATCCAAACAAGCAAGCCCTCTTGCACAATTATGTCCTTACAGCACGGACTGAGACACCGGATGAGAAAAGAATGAAAAACTCCTGTTCTTTTTTTATAGGTACATGTGTGCTTTTCCTGTCCCTACCATGGCTCTGCCAGCAAGCCAATCTGGTCGTTCATTTTCTATAGCCCCAGTGTCCTAGCAGAAAAATTATACTGATTTCTGTCATATAAGATTTCCTTACTGACTTCAACCATTTTCTTCAAATCCATCTTGTCTCAATCTTCTTCAACATGCTCATGGAATCACTTATAAAGCATGCATAGGCCATTTTTTTGGGTCTCTAGCCATATCACTGCTTCTGTTACTGCCATCACCTCCATGGTCAGACTACTTGTAGTTGAGGCAAAAGTACCGCTTTCTTCTTTTACAATTTCCCCTCAAACCACAACCGTGAAAACCCAAGAGCTTTGTACGTGTCCAACGATGGATATGTCGGTGTAAAAAACTGCACTTCCGTCAGCAGAATTTTCAGGAATTAAAGCTTGAACTTCTGCCTTAACCACCAATGGTCACGTGTCAATTGCACACTTCCGGCGACTTAAATTGCGCACTTCCGGCGACTTAAATTGCGCACTTTCGGTGACTTCCGCCGCGAGTATCCCCCACCGTGGATTAGGGCTAAACTAGATGGCTGGGACTCACGAGCAGCAGCTACCGCATTTCCTGCAGCTGCCTTTTTATTTGCTCGTGAGTCCTAGCCATCTAGTTTAGCCCCAATTCACGTCGCGTGAGCGTCATGGGGGATACACTCGGCGATGGCGGAAGTCCCCGGAAGTTCGCAATTCGGCGGCGGCGGTATAGTTCCCGGAAGTACGCAATTGACACGTGACTGAGGCCCTGTTAAGGTATATTTTCTGCCTCAATAATTTGGGACCGTTATTTAGCGACTACAGTTTCGACAATTTGCGGCCTTTTTGGCAATTTCCGTTACCATGAAAACCGTTTGAAACTTGTTTGGGAAATGTCGGCTGGGGTTTCGGGATGGGTCCTAATCTCTCATGAAATTTTGCGATTGGTGTGATTTTCACCAGCTTTGAATAGCCGAAAACGACGGGAATGAACCCGATTAACAGCACATGTCTATGACAGCCGGACGTTCTCTGTTTTTCTGTTACATCGGTTTGATTGAAAATAGTGCTAAGTATTCACGGTTGGCTTTAAGGCCTTAAACATTACCAGACATGGTAATGCTAGTTATAATTGAATTCTCCGTCCAATTTTACATTTGTGTATAAAATTTCTTTCTTATCTGTGGCTGTTTTGTTTTACCGTGACATTTTTCATGCAATCGCTATTATGTGGCTGTGCCATCTTGTCCAATGAAAACAAAGCCAAAACGAAAGTTGCGCAGTTTGGTTGCGCAGAGAAAACTTCTTGTTTCTCAGACACAAGTTT